AAAAAAATCCTCTAACTTGACACTCGCGCGAATTTTGCCCTCGCACAAATTAAACCTTTGTAGACGGATGTTATGGAGTTCTCCGAAATTTTAGACGGATGTTTTGGAGTTCTCCGAGATTTATTTCCTGTGTAAATTTTCTACATTTGGAACGGATTTCCTCATAACTTTGTTAGCAGACCATCTGCCGACATCTTTGCTACGTCACAGATTTATATATCTGAATCAACAAAATTCACATTGCTAATGCAAATAAATCATTCTGAATTGTTGGCATGATACTGTTTAGCGCAACCACCTACAAAATTTTATCTAGGAATTTCTATCTTTGATCTAGGATTTGGTTGCTTTTTGAGTCTAAAGGAATCCTCATCATCAGACAATTTAGAGGTTTATGCATGTGCTATAAAAATGACTGAATGAGTGATTCACGATATTTCTGACACAGCTGTTGAATCAGTCATAAGTCAGATTTAAAGTCTTTGCCTGTGAGCTTAGTAAACTTATATCTTACATCCTTCAGTCTTGAATTTGAGCCAATGTCTACCGTATCTCGTTAGAATTTTCCAAAACTCTGATTAGTCTCTTCTCTCTACAAGTTCTTCTTTCTTTTTGTAGGTCTATGAATTTGAATATTCAGTAAGTGATGAGAAAATATGTCCTTGTATCCTCTTTCTCTGCTCTTGTGATATTTTGATTTATGAACAAGAAAGCAGAGCGAGGACAAAGAGATATTGCGGAATGCTGTTGATCTTTTTTCCACTGACCTTTTTTTCTCCAAAAAAAAAGAAACATTCTCTCAGAAAAGCATGTAATCTATAAATAAGCCGGCATTTTAGCTTATTGGCTGAAGTTTACCCCTATTTTCAGGTCAGTAATCGTGAATGGTCTCGTTGAAGTGGTGAAACCAAATGGTGAACGAGTAGAATATAAATTAGGCGATTCATTTGGTGCTGAGCCGAATCCGGCTGTTCAATATCATGTCGGTGAGATGCGCACAATGGTTGATGACTGCGAATTTGTGCTTGTCGAGCATAAGGTAAGGTCCAAAGAATTTCAGATGGGATGGGACTTCTTGGATGGTCCCTAAGTCAAAGATCGTTTTGAGTAAGGTCTATGAACAATTTTTTAGGACTTCTGCTCGATTATGTCCACCATTGGAGAACATATCGAAAAAGACCGTGATGGGTTAACTGGGGAAGTAGTGTCGGAGACCGAAAGAAGAACTGTTGGTAGTCAAGTGGGATTGGTTTTGATCAAGGGAAAGGTTAGTTTGAGATTTCTCGGAGTTTATCGACGCTTGAAAGCACTGTCCACCCAAAATGAGG